GAAGAAATTGTTAGATGTCACGTTAAAATCTTTGTTGATGTCATCGGTTTGTAATATTCATCAGTTTGAAAAAGAAAACGTATCCCGTTATCTTAATCGGCTGCTGAGGGCCAATGACCAAGCTAAAAAAATTATTTAAAAAGAACATATCAGGGTCGTTTTCTTCTTCATATTGCGACCAAGTTTGTCCACGATCGTGTTTATGTCTGCTGTTCCGTTGTTTATAACCATGCCTTGCAGTTCATTTAACAAAAAATATTTTTCATTATATTAATTTTAAACTCAGAAATATTGGCTCCGCAATGACAAACTTCAGTTCTTCCCTCCCTCGGTCTCTTTTTATGCTTCCCAATTCAGGGATGTTCAGCTAAAACAAACTTCCATAAATTTGAAAGTATTTAAAATAATTGTTTTGGCTTGTAATAATTATCCAGTGATATAACAAACAATCAAATTAAAAAAATAAGTAGCAATACAGCCAACGTGTAAATTGGTAAACGTATTAACAATGCGTTTTCCCGCCACTCCTCAAACCCTCCCAGCTCAAGCTATTTCAATAACGCAATCCCGACAAATCAGCTCTTGATGTTCTAACAACTCTACTCTCCTTAATAATCTTCACCAAAAATATATATTAGCAAGTTTAATTAATTATTAATGTAGCAATTCTTGCTTTTTAACGTGATAATATTATACGTGAAAATCAATTCAAGCAGTTAGAAAAAGCGATTGGAACAATTATTGAGAGATCCTTCCTGGGTAATCTCAGTAACTCATTTTTACATAATTTGCATTAAAATATACTGTTCAAAACCTTGAAAGGTCAAGGAAAAAGAGTTTAAAAAACCTACCAAAGTAAAACATGCCGAAGTACCCCTCTCCAATTTTGAAGAATTTTGGTTATGTTGTTCGGGTTGAAAGATTGGGATGTACCGATCCTCTTATAAAAATAACCCTTCATACGTGGGAGCTATTGAGGTGATATTTATGTTTTGCACAGAAAAATGAAATCGGTATCATAAATATAATAATAAATAACAGTGTAATAAAAATAACCCCTTTCTTTCTTCAAACAATGTTGACATTGCGTGCATCACACGATCTCATTTAAAACCTCTATCTGTTTTCAAACTACCAGATTATTATACAGTAAGAATGGATAAGGCTAACTCTTCAGGCGACGCAGGTATCATAATAATTTCACCAACCCAGCTATTAAAATTTATTGTAACACACCACATTAAATTGCTATCTCTAGAAGAACCATCTATTTTCCCCTACGACTCAATCAAGCGGCCTATATTTATCTAGACAGAAGAATAACAAATGTGAATGCCAATTTTCACTCATGTTCGCATTTTGAACTCGACTCAGATCCTCTCTCAATATTAATTTCTTCAGAACGAATCCCCCCTCCCCAATCACTAATTCCCTAATTACCTTAAACTGGTCCAAATTCAAAAATATAATTCAAAACCAAATACTTAATTTATATTTCTAAAACTTCCAGCCGAAATAGACCAGGCAATAATGTAAATTAAACACAATAATGATGACAATAAGCGAACTCAAACCTGTACGTCCGATCACCCATCAGAAACATATCTCAAACACCACAAAAGATAATCAAAATTATAGAAAATAAAACTAGAAGATTTTGGATCGCACTTATAATCCCCTGTCTTATAAAAAGTAAAAACCCTAACTAAATCTGTAGGAAAGCTCTAGAAGACTAGACAAACTAATATAATAATCTCATATATTCAATAAATGCAAATTATACCTCACTCTAGAATTTCGCGAAAGAATACTCAGAAAAAAACATATTCCTCCTATGAATTACTCCAAATGAAAAAAAATCACCCAACTACTGATAAAATAAAAGCATTTTCTGACAATGTTACTGAAATGCCAAATTTCATTCTCCCCACCAGATCTCACCCAAATGCAACTCACCGCCAATTAGCCCATTGTTAATATTTGAAATGACTTTTTTAATTTCTTTTAAATTTCTTTTAGATATTAAATCTTATTATGATGATTTGTCAATTTTTACCCCCCTGAACAACGGATAGCGAATAACTGAAAAAAGTGAAGCAATTTGTTGTTGGAGATTTTGTGGTCAGAAGGGTTTGAATCAAAGCTTAATTAGAATATTTAATTAGAAAATATCTCCATTGTAAATAGGAGGAGTCAAACATATTTCGTTTTACTTAAGTTGTCGGCAAGCGCAAAGAAGACGTAGGAATGTTTTCTACTTGATATCTTGCAGTAATGTTTCCAGGACGTATATAGTGTATATGTTACAGCTAATGTCTGAATCTGACTAATTTGCGAATTATCCGCTTAATGGTCACATTTTCCAAAGTAAATGGATGTGATTGTCGGGGACAGTGCTAAGCAAGAATGTTTTGAAGCATACTTCACAGTAAAAAACCGGACGATGTGCACATTAGCCTACACGCGTTGGCTAGGCGCAGGCACGAAGTACGCAATGGTAACAAGCAATAGCAGATCTTAACTTCATCTCATCAGGCACCTGATGAGAAGTTAGTAAGACTCGTGATTATCAGCTGTATTTGATCTAGCTTTCTCGGTAATGTCGAAACTCCGCCACCGCCAGGACCAGAACCCGACCAGACCAAGAACCTCCCGGTCAGTGTAACTAAGTAACATTTGTTTCAGTCAGTAGGCAGTCTTCGTATATTGCCAGCATTTGCCAGATAATGTCCGAAAAGATCCTCTCATCATTATTGATATATCTTTATACAAACCTTCAGGTAAATGTGCAAATTAGTACTTCTTACATAGCCTTTTTTCGGACCTTCGCCGAAAAATACGCAATAAAGAGACAATCGCGTTCCAGCGCGTGCGCAGGCCGTGTCTGGCGGCTGTCTGGCCTTCGAGCGGCGCCGGGGGCAGTCGCCGCGGCGGCCGGCTATCGCTGGTCGGGCTCGTTAAAAAGATATTACTTAGCGCTCTATCTGCCGCCGGAGAGCCTTGTAACTCGTGCCTAGCGCCGTTTCCTCGGGAGATTGGACGGCGGTGGGCAGGAAATTGGCCTCTGGCGCCGGCGGGGGCGGTGCCGATCGCCCCAACGCGGTGCGGGCGCCCGATGGATTTCGCCTCGCCTCGCCTCGCCTCCCACGGCCACCGCCGCAACGTTTGCGCGCGACGCACGCTCCGCGACTCTTCTGCGGTGGAGCCTTGGGCGTCGTAGCGGCATTGGAGGTCTTGGGGAAAAGTAGTGCTCTGTGGTCCAACGGAAACTAACTTCAGAATAGTAGACTAAGTTCGTCTAGATATTTCTTCTCCTCGTTTTTGATCTCTTCCCTCTCCCTCTTTTGCAATTTAAATCAAGATATGGATCCCATGGCTATTTAAACTCTCTTTGATGATATTTTTCCTCCTTTCAAAATTTATTTATCATTTCACTAAACAGTGATTATCTAATATTTATATGAGAAATATAAATATAAGATAATATAAGACAAATATTTTCTTTTATCTTTCCTTAAACCACTTTGAACCGCTTTTCTTCTTGATTTTTATTTATTCGCTTTATTTATTAAATTAATTTTGGAAATTCAAAAAGAGTATTTTTAATGTTCTAGAACTAAACTCTAAATCTAGTACATGATTTTTTAACATAAGATGTCTCTGAAGTAATTAGACTCCTGGCGATTGACTGCCATGTCGTGGTTAAAGTTGGGTTTAACTTAATGTTAATATGTAATGCTATTGGACGTAATATCAGATAGTTACTCGGATATTTTGTTTGGTAATATGCATCTCAATGATTTTGGTATTCATATACATTTTATATGGTTCATATTTAGTATAATACCGTATTTTTCACTTATGATTGTGACAAATCTGAAATTTTGAAGCTATCATTTTTTTAATTCAACTTAAAACACTTTACTCGAAACGGATAGGTTTCATAAATACGATTACTGATTATAATTGGAGTGTTAAGATTCATGTAAATGCCAAATAATATGGGTGAGATATTGTCGTCATCGTCGTTATACCGGCTGACATAGCTCAGGACAAAACAGATGCCACTAGCGTCTCTATTCGGGAGGTCCTATGGTTTCATTCTCAGCCGTACGTATTTTCGACACAAGGTAGGTAGATAGCTGGGTCGAATATAGCTTCATTCTGGAGGACAATTATAGCATCTGACTGCTCTGAACGTAGTTTCCCGTAATTTATCCGATCGATATCAGTCGAATGTCGGAGACGTATCGTAAGAAATGGGAGATGGACGGCGCATCCATTCGTTCCTCAACCTTGTCCCGCCTCTTACCTTAAACGCACTTACCTTTACATACACTATTCCGTGAGGCTAGTCGGGTGTTCAGAGCTTGTCCCAGCCGGACAGACGTGGAGGGGGATTCCCCGCTAGCCAACGTGTAGGTCGGTGCAGCGTCTCCAGAGAAGGAACACCGCCACCTCCCGATATTAATATGCACTGCACTTACAAGAATTCTGACCATTGAAGATAATGCTATCGTAAAGAGAAAATAATCTCTCACTCAATTGTTGCAGTCTTCAAACCAATTATAAAGAGAATATATTTTCTTAAAAAAAGAACTTTGAAAGACTATGTACTATAATAAAATACATAGGTTTAAATTAGAAGTGTTGTGCTGCTGTGAAAAATAATATTGGTTTTCTTAAGTATCATAATGAAACTTCAGATTGTAGAGTTTGAAAATAAATATTTTCAGATCATTGTTCCAGTTTTTCATACAACTTTTATTCTGGTATCTGGTCATTCTAGTTTCTGATACCAGCAACGGGTCATACGATCATTCATCATGGAGTTCCTTTTATGAAAAGCCTCGTTAAGTTGGGAGCTTGGTCCAGGAGTAATGAACGGGAAAGTCAACATCTGGAGAGAAATGAACAAAAGCGTAGGCGACGTATAGAAGAAATAAATTTATTAAAGTTGTTGTAAACAAGTTGGCGCGCGTGTGGGAGCCTCGCGGAGGCTACTGGCACTCGGGCCGCTCCACGTTCTCCGGCCAGTCGCAGATGTTGAGCGTGGGGTTGAACACGGTGCCCGGCAGGCACTGCTCCTCGGTCGGCTTCCCGTACGAGCACTGATAGTACTGCAATTCACAAACAGGGCATGCGGTTACTTCAATGCTTCATCATGATTCCGTGAGGATTATTTTCAGAGTGAAGGAGCCAAACATTTTGTGAAATTGTAGAAAAATCATAATGGTGATGCTTCATGTGTAAATGTAAATATTGTTTACGATTCAGCAATTTATTCTCTAGTTGTTTAATTTAATGAATTAATTGGTGTGACTAATTAAAATCGTGTAAACTATTTGCTATGGATGACAGGTAGTGCGAAAAGTCAGGAAAGGTATTGAATATTCTTGTTTCAGTCACGAGCGATTATTGTGACAATCAAATCAAGTTGTAGACGTGGACGATTTGTAAAACGTTAAGTAATTTGTATTCATTTCACAAATGTTTGCTCATTTGTGATCGGGCTGTGGTACTGTACTCTTTTATCAAATCTGAAGAATTCAATCTCAAAGTATAATAGCATGAAAACAAATTATTTATGCTGCTAAAATGCATAAAATCAGTCAAGAAAATTAATGCGGCAGTATACACATGTAAGTTGATTTTATGAAATATTATTTACTTGAATTATCCTTTGACTAAAATGATAGACTATTGCTATTTTAGTTGAAAGCATGCTAAAAATAAATAGCTCGATCTCTTCGAATATCTGTGATTGTGGGCTGTCCCTTTACCTTCCATGTGAGTACCTTCCCTTTAAATTCTCTCTAAAAGGATTCACTTTAATATTCTCTTATGCTTTTAGATATTATTTGTATCTACAGTTTTTAGTGATGATATGAGAACGAACCAAATCACTCGTGAAAATTATTCATAATCTCTAACTGCATTCGATTGAACTCACTCTTCGAGGCGTATAAGTGTACGTATTTGGCTCATTTGCCTGGCGGAAGAATACGCGAATATCCGTGGAGGAATATGATCTTCGGTGATGTACAACTGTTTAGGAATCTGTCAAAATAATTTCCCACTTGCCTGAACCGAGCACATTGAATGAAAGTATTGTTTGATCAATGTGTAACACATTATGGACATACTGTAAATGAAATATTATCGTTCAAGAAACCAATGGAAATCATGGAATATAATTCCGATTCCACTAGAGTCAACTTTGGTTGTATACCGCTGGCTTGTTATCATGATATTGATATGAATGCTATTTTATAAGTTGAAAGAATTGACTCTCCGAAGAGGGCAAACAATATTTTGAACAGTGAAAACAATTTATTATTATTATTATTATTATTATTATTATTATTATTTATATCATTTGATTAGTTTTTCTTCATCAAGACGAAGCCAAATTACAAAGCCTTAAGCTATTTGAACGTGTCACTTACTTGGAGCAGTCTGGTTGATGCGGGACGAAGGCGGCCTTCCTTCCGCTGCAGCTGACGGCTCCCGCCGCGCCGGCCGCCGCCTCCCGGCGGCTGGTGCTGTGGGCGGGGCGCCTGGGTGGTGTGGTTGGTGGCCGTTGGTGCCGGCGCCGGGTGGGTGGTGGAGGTGGTGGCGGGGCGGCGCGTGGTGGTGGTGCCGATGGGGTCGGGCGGGGGCACGGAGGCGCAGTTCATCTGAGGCGGATTGGGGGGCTTGTCCCACTGCGGGCGCGGCGTCGTCTCGTACTTGTTGGCGGGCGTCACGTACCTGACGGCAGAGAGCGACGGCTTTGCATTATTAAGGCGAGGGAGGCAGGTGGCAGGCGCCAGGCGGGCGAGGGCGGACGAGCCGTGTCACTTGGGGCGTTCCGATCGGCGTCGCTGGAAGGGCCAAGGAACTGATACGAACGGAGGGCCCAAGTAAAAGAGAATAATAAGTATTGTGGAAGATTTTAACATTAGGTCAAAAGTACCAGAGAAGCCAAAGAGAACACATTTTCCGAAGATAACTTGAGATTCTTGGTCTCTAGTAATAAATTTGTTTTGTGAAACTCCACGGTCGATTTATTTACTTCTTCTGAACAGATCTATTGCCTAAAACCACTAATTTTCAGATTCATTTTTTTATTTATTTCCTAGTTCCGATTTTCTCATAGAAGTGGCCACTTGGAATTTGCACAATTTTGGTAATGGTTAGAAACTTCAATTAGTACTGGTCACTCGATATTCTGGTCCTTGAAGGTGCTTAACACATTTTAATTCTACAAAACTGTACTTACTTTAATTACAACTTTATTTAGTTTATCGTATTATTAGTAACAATTGCATTTTTGAAAATTCAGAGTTTAACAAACATAGAACTTGTGCATTTTTAAGCGTACTTTCCTCTTTTCCAGAAACAAAATTTGAGCCTTTTTTGAGAGTGTAAAATTACTTTTAATAAAAAATAACGCAAATATTACTCATATTAAAAAAAACGTTCTCGGCCGTATTTGAATATTCAAATTTTACTTTCTGTTCTTACTTCGTAAGAAGAGAAAGCATTGTAATCGTGCACCTGAAAAAGGGGAATTAAAGTAAAACCTTTATTTCCGGGCCCTAGGAATCAAAAATTGGATCAATGATGTCTCTATGTATATTTAATTACTTCTTAACACGTTGTGTCGTTGTGTAATCAGTATCCATGTTTTGTGGGTCTTTGATAATCAAAAATCGATTGACGTCAAAACGTCTGTCTGTTCGGGTTCCGAGTATACCACGTGTTAGAGGAAGTAATTTACTATAAATAGCAAGTGGATTTATTCACTTTTTTGTTACCAGGGCCTATAAATGGTGGTTAATAAATAATTATATATTTATAAGTTCAATAATGGAATAATAAATAGGTTCAATAAATAATTGCATTTTTATTGAACACGAGAAGAGACGAGTTTTGGCATTAAATTGGTAAATATAATCTTTCTTGACGTTCCGTGTCTTCGTTAATATAACGTGAAAGAAAGAATTAAAGTATTTGTGTCTATGTGAATATTTAAACTCTTATAATTCATGAAAAGTCTTGCTTTGAAAAATAGAAAAAGACAGTGAAAATATTGGCCACGAATTCCACATCAGGGCACCTTCGGAGGATCCGAGAATTATTCTCTAAACTACCGACAATTTTTTTTGTTTAAAATGTATGAGTAGCTTGAATGTCTTAAGAACGACGGCTACCCAGTAAATTCGAGTTTATTTCCCAAAGATGAAATATCTTTGTTGAAAGGAAATTAAATGTGTGGCGCCGTGTATAATGAACGTGGGGGACAAAATAATTGTGCATGTGTGTTCTTATTAAGAAGAACATTATGAAATTACGTAAATTATGGATTTGAATCAACAGATGGAAAAAAGACACCTTCGGCAGAATAGCAGAAAAAACATGACAAACATTTAAAATGCTGTGTACAATCATCTCAGAAAAATAAGCGAAATGCTTAACAGAAGTTAAGTGCGTGCAACGATATCTTCTGCTAAAAAAAATTGTTGAGTTTACGGAGACAGTTTCTTTTGGTATTTTTGTTGTGCTTAGAATTTTTATTATTGAAAGAAAATGACATGAAAGAACAATTCAACTTCTGAAGTTGAGCGATGGTATTCTAGTATTTGCCCTAATGATTTGGCCTTATGATACTTCAGACCAACTAATTGTATTTCGCTCATGATGCTCTACAGAACGGCAAATCTTATGCAATAATGGCAGAACTTACTTGAAGAGCTTTACTCTACCTTGAATAAAAATGCATTTTCGAAACGTAACAGAAATGCAATGAAATAGAAAATAATATTAAACGACGTTGTGTGTTTTGAGACTTTAAACTTAAAATTATTTTCAATCTGATTTCTTTGGCACGTTCGAGAGCAAACAGATCTCAACTCCGGTCTTACCTCGCTTCGACCATACGCAAGGCTTCCAAGTGCGACACAAACAAATCCAACCTGACTGTTGAGCAGAGGAAATTCAGCTGCTGGACGACGGAAGAAAAGGAACATCCGACAAAACTAACCAAGCCCCTTGAGACCGAAAAAATATCTGGAGCAAAAATGAACCGTAGTTATTGAAATTTAGAAAACAAAAAATAAGGAAAAAAGTGTTTCTGAATTTTAATTAATTACTATTACGACTTATATAATTGCTTTGCACACTTGATTTATAAAATTGTAGATTCCGGAACGCACCTCAATTAAAATATAATTTAATAGAAATAGTTATATATTTATAATATAATAATTATAAATTACATTTAACAATAATATTAACAATATCAGTCGTAGCATTGGCTCCGTGTAGATACAATAATAATAGTAAATAAAAAGTTAAGAGATGTTTTATTTTTTACTACTAATATTATTACATTCGTAAAAATGATACCGTTAAATGGAAAATTATTTACAATTTACGTAGGTGGAATTAAAAATCGAAGTTGCGAAGTATTTGTCTTCTGCTGTTTCACTCGCAAGGTACAGGAACGCCGTGCCGGCGCGTTCCGTCAGAAATGAAACCTTGCCTTTGTACATTGATGTCATACTTCTTAAAAGAGTAAATTTACTTAGTATTGTTTTATAACTAAATTCGTAATTATTTTATTATAGGCAATACATTTATATTCACATTCGATTCCTTTGATTAACTGGAATGATTAAGTGGCAGGCTATCTCATTTTGAATAAATGGACGATGATCCTCACGAGATAATGTCGTTCTTGGTGGATGGCCTTTTCCTTTCGTGACACAAAAACAAAGTGAATACATTCATATCGCATGCCTTACGTAAGATTCGAACCCACGACCCGACGTTTCTCGCGAAGCGGTTGGCGCCGTGGATGCGTTTCTAAGTGAGCCTTTGCTATCTTAAAACATTATATCTATCTTAAAATTAATAGCTATCTTAAAACAAATATAATTACTCCAAATGTCGCTATGACCCTCCTAAGTAACAGAGGGTAACACTGCTGTATAATCAAAATTTCATCCGTAGACCTGTTGTACAGATCCTCAAGTAAGTCTCTTAACCACACCAATCACTCAAAGCAGTCTCCTAACAATCAAAGACACTATATTTTGTGTTACATGTCACAGATTTAAAGAAGACAATGAAAAGTACACCGATATAACGTCAGTGATTTATACACGCGGTTAATTTTCTACAGTAGCCGACACCTACATAATTTCCCCGGTACTGGCATCACGTCTTTATTTGATTGAACATTTTTATTTAAAAGTTATTATCCTTGGCATATTTAGAAAACATAACCAAATTCCTGGAGTTCGAGCGTGGTGCAGGGACGGCGGTGCCTCATACTCACCCGCGCATGCCGTTGGCCAGCACCTTCATGAGGGAGTCCTTGGGCCCGCAGAGGCCGCGGAAGTCATCCATGTCCACGGCCCACGTCATCACCCCCGCGTAGCCCTTGCTCTTGATCCAGTCCAGCTTGATCTGCAGGCTGGTGGTGTTTTCGTAGCCCACCCACTGCGTTCCTGCGAACCGGAAGAAGGCGTCACTTGCAATGGAGCAAAAGCGAAACAATATGTACCCTATTCATTTTGTTTAATAATTATAATATTGATATGGGTATATTTTTTTTCCATTCACCACTTCTTAATCGCTGGTACGTTCTGGGTACCGTGTTTAGATATTTCAACAAAGCTTACTTTGTAAATGAGGTGAAATCTCGGGTTTTCTTGTCTCCCGCTTTTATTACATGTTTGT